CAAATAGAAAGTTCAGATGAAGGAAATGAAATTAAAAAGAAATTCTTGGATGCAAATGAAATCATTAAAACATTGCCTATTATCTCACCAAGCAATCCGGATCATATGTACACCAGCAAGATTATCAGCACAAGATTGATTTCAAATGCGATTAAAGAAGGTAATCTACTTTAATTTACCGGTATACAGTGTCTGATATTAATACTAATATAAAATATTTTTATTTAGAATTGTCTCAAGTCGATTCTGGTTTAATTAGTCTTGATATTTCCAATAATTTATAAATTTTTGGATAAATTAAATTATAACAAATATATTTATAGAAAAATTTAATTACCTTCAATTATCAACCTGTATAATATATGAATTAAATTACTCTTTAACCCTTAGTAATCTTTTGATTAAATTTTTTTCTGAATAATCAATACTTTGTTTGACCTGAATAATCAATCCCTAGTACACTATTTTACACCATAACTAAAATGATATGTTTGTTGGCATTTCTCACCTAGTTGTTGTTTTTGAATCATTGCATTACTTTCAGTCATGTATAGTAGCCGCGTAAAATTTATTTGAGATAAATTCAATCGGTGAATAACTTGCTTGATATATATAATGTATCTTAGTATTAGTTAATAAATCGGCCAATAGTGATGATAGGAAATCCCACCACTATAGATGGGTGTCTAAATTATTTTGCTCATGGCGAAAATTAAAATGACTAAAATTATCTTATCTAAACATTAAATAATTTAGAATGTCGAAAATAATTCAGATCGTAAAAATTATTTTAGCACGTTAAATATATGTAAATATTAAGATTAAATAATCTTAATAACAAGATGTGCCGAAAATTTTTTTAATTGCCTTTATTACCGTTATTGACTGCCATTATAGACTGCCAATTATTTGTGAACATCCATTTTGTGTAACATTGTGTACAAAAATTTCTCAACCACATAATGGAATTCGATGAAATTTTTCTATGAATTCATAGAATTTAAACAAAAAAAAAATTTATCGAATTTCATCGAGTGGTTCTTGAGACATCTTCAACGAAAATTGCACCAAGATTCAAAACGTCTATCAAATGGTTGTCGCTCAATTCCCCGAAAACTACATACCCGACAATCCATTTACCCGACATCACATAGGGTGACAATTTAGCATTTAGTTAGCTATAGGTATATTTTATTAGTAAATTTTCACCTCATGTGATGTCGGGTAAATAGACTTTAGGGTAAGTAGTTTTCGGGGAATCGTACCGTAACCGGTTTTAAGATAGCTAGAAAGCGCGTCGTGGCCACGGTTTGCGAAAGTTACTAGTAAAGTAATTCAAGTAATCAGACTTGACGTACAGTGGACGTTCTAACTAAGAGATTAATAAAAACAAGGAAATCACAAGTAATAATTTGGTTTAAGAAATATTAATGATCTCTTCTCTGGAGTTTGTTTAAACTTTAATATAATATATTCCTGGGAGGAATCGTCGAACGACGGTTTGGCTTATTTAATTTGCACATTAGCCAGTTTGCCCACTCGCGCAATTAGATTCTATTAAATCGAAAATACAAAGTTTTAATAACGTTTACAACTTATAAAATCAACAAAATAAAAAGACAGCTAAAAATTAAAAATGATCGGCACGTCATTACCATTCTCCCGCTTCTCATCCTTAGTTGGCAGGGTCTCAAAAGCTCAATCCAAACCAAATCTTCATACTAATTATTTGGTAGAAGGGGATGATGATTGTCTTCATAGCTTGTTTTAAAGTAGCAGGCAAAGGATTTTTACCCCAATGTTCTACTAAATTATTTGCGATTTTTTTATGTTGTACTTTAATTAATTTGATAAAGTTGGTAATTGATTTATCATGATTTTCCTTATGTTAACGGGTCATAGGGCACGGAAACAGTAATTCCATCCCGTCTTAAAGAAGAAGAAAGCAACAAATCAAGACAGGGTGTATAATTTAAACCCTTATGAGATTTTTTGAATAGGGTCTGCTGACTCTGGGGAGGATTGGCTATGAATGACTTCCCTATGATGACGAACATCTTTCGCTCACGTACACTTTTGTTATAGTTTTATTATAGGAATCAGAATCTAAAAAAAACCGGGAATATTGCCGATCTACACGAATCTTAAGCCGAACTTGAGCAGGATAATGATGACAAAACTTGACGGTGATTGTTATGTTACTATTATGTAATTCATACTCGCGCTTGTTTAAATCTAGAAATTCAATTAATTCGGATTTTATACGAAGTCTACAGATTACACGTATCAACAATTTCCTATGCATTTGGCGTGGTCTTTATTTCAAGTTTTAAATCCTCGGGCTTTCAATAGTTTTCTATTTTCCTAGTATTATAAATACCACAGGATTTTAATTCCGATTCTGGGAAAAAAACTTTTAACTAGAAGCCGAAGCAGTTCGAACTAAATATAATACTCTGGTAAATAGAACCCTTTATTACTACACATAATCAACGTAAATAATAAACTTTGATATAAATTTTTCGATTTTATTAAAATGCGCCATTTAATACTAAAAGCTTGCTAAATAATCGATAATTGATGCTAGAAGTAAAAATGCACAGTGTCCTAAAATCTTCTATTTACTATGATACACTCTATCCTTAAATTTTAAAGGCAAAAATTCTTTTTGAATTTCGAATATCCAAATTTCTTGATAAGCTACCAATTACTAAATTTGTAAAACCTGAATATACGCGAATATTTAACAAAGTCAAAAATAAAGTATTATACTGTACTTAATGCACGCAAGAAGAGCTTGATTCTGGCCAGGTACAATTCTAGGCATGACAGTTCATGATAACATCACATATTTAGCCAATAAAAAAGATTCTCTGCAACATATAAGTTATACATAGTCAATAGAAAATCAACTCGATATATATATATATATATTTTTTTTTTTACATTTCAAAATACTAAATCCAATTAACAATACTCAATAGACAAGATTTATAAATTATTTCAATAACATTAATTCATTATATAATTACAAAATTTAAAGACATAAATTAGGAAAAAAAAACATTTATAAACAAAAATTACTCCTGAAACACTTGATCTAAATATTTGGAATAATCGTATCCACTTTCCCGTGATGGCATGGCTTCTTGTAAATAAGATACAACATTTTCTGGTAATAATGATCTTCTTAGATCAAGCTCTGTTACAAAAGGTTTATCTCCGGCTACAACTTTGAATGATTGTCGGAGTTGATCAGGTGAAGTCTTGTCTTCTGTAACATTAACCATATAAAGGATAAACTATAATAATTGATTAAATGAAATGTTGAAAAATTAAAAAACTTAATTATATCAATGCGTTTAAGTGAAATCACATATATAAAATATTAATTCTTACCTGCTCAAAAGAGGCCTCAGGTTGCCCTTCACTCATTTGGTTAAATGCTGCATTCAATTCTGTATCCTATAATGAATAAGAGCGTTTAATCTTCAACTAATATTTCAACATTAATTTGATAAATAAACAAACCAATAATATAACCTACATCATAAAATATTCCTAAACTAGCCAAAGCAGCCTTGAACTCGTATGGATTTAATGTATTCGACGAATCGGTATCAAAATGACGGAATGTACCTTCAAATTCTTCCAATTGAGCTGGTGTAAGATTTGTCATATTCCTTGCTACAATCTGTTAATATAAATAATTCCATTAAATATTAACTAAAACAAATATTATAAAAAGAATTTATAAAAATATCGTATACCTGATTTTCAATGAAGGAAGATTTCTTGGTGATCGATTGCTGCACAAGCCCCAATTCAAATTTTAAGTCATCAACAGAGAAAACTGTATAATCGTTTTCTTCAACATTAGCCTCTCTACATTGCATATCAAGCTCCTCAATACGCCTAAGAGAATTTTCCAACGGACCTAATTTAGCCGAAAGACTTTTAACTGTTGCAAGTTGAGTCTGTGCAAATAAACAGAATTGTAAAAATTAAATAGAAATTAAAATAAAACAAAGAGAAAATATACATACATCTAGTTTGCCATCTAAGTCAGCTAATGCATGAGATATCGAATCCAAATTTTTCTGAAAATCATTTGCTGACTGTGCAAATGTTTTACGTAAACTTTCCTTGATTCTATTAATATCAAAATAAAATTGGTTTGATCCATTAAAAGTACAATTCAAATTATGTGTTTATAGTGACTCCGATTGTCAAGATCAATAAACTTACTCTCTGATTTTATCATTAATAGTTTTATATCGTTTAGCTTCGGCATCTATCAAACTTTGCCATGCCTTATCCAAATCATTTAGTGTTAGTCCAGCAGGTGGATGATAAGGCTGTAAATCGTATGTTTTGAGTTTAGTCTGAATGTTACCGAGCAAGGTATCTATATCGCTTTTCTCGGATACCCAAGCACGTTTTTCACTACTTTTATATTGAGTAAATTCAGCGGATTGACGTTTAGCATGAGAATAACTTCCATCAAATTTAGAATTGGCCCAAACATTTTTCTTGTCTATGACATTTTGCATCAACTAATAATAATATTTTTAACAAGTAAAATTTTAGTAAATTATCAAAATTCTTCTTTTTTTAAAAAAATAATGTTAACATTACTTGTCTGACACGTCTCTCATAATCATGTTCCATGTCCCATACTGACTGCATAACTTCCGCAAATTTAGCAACTCTTCTTCCAGCTGTCTCTATTTTGTCTTTTTAACGAAACATAGGAAGTATTATATAAAAACAAATCTAGTATTGAAACCTAAATTAGAGTAATTCTACACACCTAGATGTGAAAATGCATGGAAGTATAAAGCAACATAAGTCATTATAGATCTTTCATCAGGTTTTTGGATATCGCAAACATCTTCAACATCCAATAATTGCTGAAAATGACACCAATTATTAATTAGAATGAATAATGCTTAAATA